CCCTTTTTAAAAAATTCCCTCCACACCCAATTTTTGTTTTGTTTTGAGAATCAAAGTCCCAGTGGAATTCAGTGGGTCTTGCTGCTTCAGATTAAACATGCCTAGGTCACTGATAAATGATTTTTTATTTTGTTTTGCTGCTGTTTTAGCTGACTTAGCTAGCATTTTTTATTGCATTTAATAACTTGTAAGCTACCCGGTGAATGTTTACATGCAGAGAAAGATTAAAAATTCTTTAAACAAATATGTAAAGAAGATAAAAACGGCTGCTTTGTCCAGCCCCAACTCTGCCCTTCCATCCCTAGACTTTTAGGCCAAGTGGTAGCCAGCACCTACACAAGTGGCAGTAACGTGACAGTAAAATACAGGCAGAGCAATCCTGAGGTGTGCCTGCCCTGGGGTGGACAGCTGCTGTGCAACTATGGCAGTGCTAGTCCACTCTGTGTAGGGACATAGTCTTACTTTTTATCTTTCAGTGGCTTCAACTTTGTCAGCATCTTCAGCAGCTATGTTGCTGGGTTCCTTGGAGGTGTTGTGGTGAGGCAGCGGGGCTGTGATGGGACAGGGATGCTAGAACTAATCAGGGTTCGTCAGGCACCCATCACAGCACATGTGTGGGAAGGGGCAGAGCCAGGGATGATCACTTGCTGCCAGCGGCACAGCCCTCCCCACTTACAAATCCCTGGCTACCTCCCCACAGCCTTCCCCCATCACAAATCCCTGGCTATCTGCCAGCCATGGCATGGACTCCAGCATTCCCCCCACACACACACACACTGAGCATGAGCAGGCAAGGGAGCACATCCGGAGCCCTGCCACCCAGGCTGCCTTTGGGCGTTCTGCACCCTCTGGCGCCCTTGGGGAGGGTTGATCTAGCAGCCATGGGATGAGTGGTGGCCCACTGTCTTACCCTCCTTTGTAGAGGATCAGCACTACCCCCACGCACAACTACCTCCCTTCCTATGCCTGGCCCCACTCTGCACCCATTTGCAGAGAAGGCTTCTTTTGGACACCCACCCCCATCTATGTCCCCTCAGCTTGGCACCCACACAGCCTGGCCACAGGTACATGGGCCAGGGCATGTGGGGAAGAAGCCATGCACTGGTGCACCACGAGGTGTGGCTGAAAACTCCTGCACAGCTGTAACTGACCCTGAGCCTGGCAACACAACAAGGCAGGGGATGACCATTGGCATCCCCATGGAAGGGGCTTTCCCAGGCCCCTTCCAGAGTGTTCAGTTTTTTTACATTTGGTTTGTTCCCTTGAAAAGGGGATGGGGCAACAGTGACTTCAGAGCTAGGAATTTCCATGACTTGAGAAGCACAAATATTCTTCTTCATCCTTGTACAAGGACTGGGGTAATGGAAGGAACCTCACATCTGTACAGATGGCCGATCCCTCCATGGTACAGTCCTGGACACTCATCTCACATAGGGTAGGTGTTCCTAGCTCTGAGGGCCCTGGGACGAAGGCAGCTGGAACTTGGTGCAGCACCTGTGTTTTTTGTTAGGGTCGTTATTTCTTGCAAGGGCACCAGCTGAAAGCCTGATATTCCAAAAGCCACAGCAGTGTTGCTTTTCGCAAATGGCTCCCTACAAAGTATGAACTTTGTGTCTTTCTCTTGCTCTGTCCCTTCATTAGCATAACCACATTGAGCCCTTCCAGGTCTTCTGTAGAGGCAGAGCCACTGAAATTAACCAACATAACTTTCCTGCTCTGAAAGACACCCATTAATTGCATACGCTGGTGGTGGAGCATTTCTAGTGGACCACACCACCTCCTTCACTCCCACACAAACGGAACAGGGCAATAGGGCTGAACTGTTTAGTGAACCATTTGTGCCCTTTCTGAGTGTCCTCCCTATCCAGTGAAATCATTGGCACAACTTTGTTTGGAGCTGACCCAACCAACAGCAAAAGATGGGTTCCCCTTGGCAGCCGCTCCATGTGAGTCTGCTCCTGCAAGGGAATCAGTGCAAGGATTATGTGCTTATCCACTCCACTCAGCATGGTGGAGCTTCCCCCACACACACACCCTGTCTGACAGGGAGCCTGCAAAGTGACTGAGCTATCAGTCCAGTGCACAGCTGAGAGCTTGGGCCTCCTCCTCCACAGCCCTCCCAGGCCAGACCCCCACGTACCAAACCCCCTTGTGCGCAGGGACCATGGTAGCAGGAGTCCACAACTCCTGCCACTCTTGCTGGATTGCCATGCTGGCAGGCTCAGGTGGGGGAGGTGGCATTGCCAGGGTGGCTCCCAGCCACTGATGGAGGGAAAAGAGGAAAGGAGATTGGGGGAACAGACCCCTGCTTACCTGTCAGTGTGTGGCCGCCCCTTCAGGCCCTTGCTGAAAACATGGGGTACCTATTAGGATTCAGAACTAAGAGAGGTCAGCCACAGAGTGTGGACTTTGCTCTCCCTGTGAGGTCCCGGTGCCAAGTGCTCATCCAGCGGTGCTAAGTGCCCTCTCTGTGCTTTTCCTGCCACCAAGATGCCTCACTGCTTGCTCAAAGATTGCATGACAGGGAACTGTCGGGACAGCGGCCACGTCGCACACCCTATCTCATGAGTTCTGTGGTGTTCTGCTGGAAATATCTGTAGGGCTGGGGGGGCCATGATTGGGTGTGGGGGGGTAGTGGTTGGTCACACCCTTAGTTATTATCCTGAGCTGCTTGGGGACTCATGGGCATGGTCACAGCAATGAGGGGCACTTGTTTTTGACCTATAAAGGGTACCTATGGGCTGAAAGGGCTTAGGGAGCCACTAACTGCACCCCCCAAACCGCCCACAGAGACTCCGATGCACAGCCACTGTGGAGCTGCACTGGCACAAAAGAGTGGTGCAGCAGCACTGGGGCCCTGCACTGGCATAACTGGCCCTTGCACTGACCAATGAGATATGATGGCATACAGGTTAGTCTGCTCCCTGAGTCCATTCGCTCCCAGTTTAGGATTGCGCTGCAATTTACTTAATTTTTATTCCAGCCTCTTTCCAAGGAGCTTAAGGTGGGGTACCCTTCCCCTTCATTTTTTCTCCACAACAAGGTGCCTAGGCAGAGAGGGGAGAGCAACTGGCCAGTGAGCTTCATATTTGTAGAATTTGAACTTAGGTCTCCCAACTGGCTTTCAGACTGAAGATTTAGGAATGCCATTTCTGAATTTAAAAAAGAAAGCCCTCAACGTTTACTTTATTTCTTTTATTGGTTTTAAAATTTAAACATATTTCAGCCTACCTATCTTCCAACGAAGCACCTTGGCTCGTAGGTAAAACTGCCGCTTTAGGTTTAAATACAATCCTCATTCTGCTGTGTGTTAGTTGACTAGTAAATTCGTGGGGATTAAAGAGGGAATGGGAGCCTTGAAACCCCTCCTCCTCCACCTGCCATCTGAAATGGTACGATCCATTCCCTTTCTTCTGCAGCATTCTGGTCAGTCGAGGCGAAAGGAACCGTTTGGATTCCACCATTTTTAGGGAAGGGGGGAAAGGAAACGACAGGAATTCCAGCGGCTTCTCTTTCTCCTTTCGTGAGGGCGGAAAGTAGACCAGCACCGCCCCCCTCGCCCTTCTCCCCGGTCTTTGAAATATCGCGCGATCCCAGCCCCTCCTTCCCCGCTTGGCCGGGATAGGGAAACCCACTTGCCGTCGTCGGTGAGGAGTAACGACCTGAAGTGCGCGGCGTGAAGCAGCCATCGCTTCGCTGTTACTCAGGTGAGGAGGAGGGCGTGTCTTCTGCGCCCGGCCCAGGCCTGGCTGGTTTCCTCCCTGTGCTTCGCTCCTTGCTCGGTCCTGTGAGGGGACGGCGGCCCCGGCTTCCTCCATGGGTGGAGAGTCGGGTGGAAAAGAGGTGCTGCCTCTGTGCCCATTCTCGGAGTGCCGCCGGAGGAGGTGTTTACTCGGGAGCCATCCCGGTGGGTTCAGTCAGTAGGACTTATTTCCAAGTAAGTGTGTGTAAAAGAGCGGCCAGATTAGTGGCTGGGGGAGGGACTAGTGGAAGACTTCTCAAAATCTTCAGCGCCTCCAATACCACGCATTATCCTCGGAAGGCAACGAAAGGATGTGGATTTTTTTTTTTGGGGGGGGATTCATTAATAGCATCTCGAAGGGCCCCCCTCCCCCAACTTCATTCATAGCCTTCGAAAGAAAGGCTGGGATTGGAAAACCGGTTCCAGTACAGGGTGGATAAGCAGTCGTAGCTGCGGGGCTCCGGGAGCTCCAGGCGCAAAACATACCGAACACCTGAAGGGGGGGGGGGGGGGCAGGGGTGGGCGGCGTTATGGCTTGGCGTGTAACTGGAGGCTCTTGTGCCAATTGCTTGTTGACAGTTTAATTGGTGTGTAGGCATTCATTCCCCCCACCACCACCACCCTTGGTTATTTGTGGGGAGGGGCAAGTTGTGGCGAGCCAGTACTGAGACAAGTACATGGAAACAAGTTGGCTTACAGACTTCTTGCAGACTGTACATTTTGTTTCCTTATGTGAAGGCATGGTGGATTTTAGCTGGGGTTGGTCCTTGCAGCTATTGGAAAAGCCTGCATCACATGCCAGAGATTCTGGTATTTACCTGTGTTTGTCTGGAAAATCAGTATGTATTGTTCAAGCTTTTGCAGATGATTCTGAGAATTTTGCCTGGTATGTGTAGTTCTTGGATACAAGAATTCTCTACAAAAGTAACTGATATTAAATGAGCTGCCTTCGACAGAACTGATCTTGGTTCTTTTGCACTGAAGGATGTAACTTTATTTTTAAGAGTTTTGACTTTTTTGTGTAATACTTGTAAAACCTCTTAGTGGTCACAGCGGTTATCAGTTGTAACTGTTTATTTTTTTCCTTTCCATTTTGCAACAGGGAGAAGTTTAACTTTCCAGTATGAAGAGAAATAGCTCATCAGTCTGCAGCTATTAGTGCTTTGTTGTTATGGCTGAGGCATGAAAAGATGTCCGTACTTTCACTGTGTTAGCCTTCACTGTGAAACAGATGTTACCTAGGACAGACTGCGGTTATGTGCTGAAGTCAGAAATCTCTGGGAAGATGGGGATCTTTGTATATCTTCTGACTGGGACTTTAATCTTAAAACTGACACATGGGAATAGCTTCTTTACATGTGAACCTATAAGTATTCCAAGATGTTCTGGAATGGCCTATAATATGACATTTTTCCCAAATATGATGGATCATTATGATCAGGACACTGCAGATAAGCACATGACGGTGAGTTGTTCTTTTCTGAGTTACATATTTATATGTTTATAAACATTTTGCTGTGTAGTAAGTGATCATACACTGTTTGCTCTAGTTTAGTATTTGGGAGAAACATTGGTTATTTTCTTCCATAAACTATTCAACCATACTCATAAACATTAGATTTTTAGGGGGGTGGGATGCTATAAGAACTAGGTAGAGAAAATAATTTTGCCATGATCCCAGTTGAATTCCTGGAATCTCCAGTGGCACAGTTGAGAAAAACATAGTCCTCATTCTTTGCAGAGCTGCTACCAGCTAGAGACGATGTGCTAGATTAGATGAATCAATGATCTAATTTGTAAAGAACTTAGAATGCAGCTCTTCTGATACTTTTTTGAGATCTGGGAATTCCAGATGGCCATGCTAGTCTGTTGCATCAAAATCAAACAGGAGTCCAGTGGCACTCAAGAGACAAACACAGTTCATTCCAGAATAAACTTTTGCGAGTCGAAGCTCGCTTCATCACATGCATGAACATTAGTAAGGCTGATTAAGTTTGATTAAAGTTATATCTTGTCGTATTTGTGTGTATTTTGTTAGTTTTTGTACTCTGTTACATATATTTTTTCCTAATATAGAAAGTTTTGTAAAGGAATTCTTACTTAACACTTGTGGAAGGGATTTCTTAATATCTTGGTGAAATACCAATAGATTCAAGTGGGTAGCCGTGTTGGTCTGAAGCAGCAGAACAAAGTTCAAGTAGAGTGGCGTGGAGGGTGGGGTACAAATTTGAAGAAATAAATAAATAAATTTAAGACCAATAAAGTTTTCCAATAAAGTTTTATTCAAAGTATCAGCTTTTGTGTGCATGCA